GGGGTTCAGGCGGAACCTCCACCACGTCACTCTTGGTGGACTCCTCAGCGTCCCCACCTTCGTCGTTGTCTTCACTGCCCTCGTCGTCCTGCTGCACCTCGGACGGCTGCCTGGCCGACCTCTCCCCTGTGGTCGCCGTCCCTGCCGACTGCCTGGTTGCCGACTGTTCCGTGGCCGGCTTCACCTCTGCCTGCTCCCCTCTCGGCTGCTTCTCAGCTGCCTTCTTCGCCGACTTCATCCAAGTCGGCTGCTCCTCCTCGACCTGCTCCTCCCCTGTCAACGTCGACTTCACTCCCACGTCGACTTGCCGCTCGACACGTCGGCCACCGGCGACGCCCTTGGCCGGCGCCGAAGGCGACGTCCCACTACTCCCCTCATCGCCGGAGGCCGACACCGAGGTCAGCCCGCGCAGGTCCGCCACGAGGGGAGGGGCAGAAGAGGGAGGGGAAGGAGGACGGACGTCCTCGTCGTCCTCAGCAGCAAGCCCACCGACCTCGGCGAGCAAAGGCAGTGTCGCCGACGAGGTGTCGGTTGGCGGGGTGGACGGCGTTCGGCCGGACACCGACCCGTGCTCCGACTTCCACTCGGCCAGCGACATCTTTTCGTAGAAGACCACGTCCGACGTGGTGACCACCCGGTTGGCGTCGATGTCGTGGAGCTCCCAGCCCTTGCTCTCCGCCGACACGCCAAGGTGAAGGCCCCACCTGGCCTTCGGCTTCAACTTCCCACCACGCTGCTGCTCGGGGACAAGGAACTGCGCCATGCAGCCCCACACCCTCGCCATCGACAAGCTGGGCTTCTGGCCGACCAGCAGCTGGTACGGCGTCGTCCCCGGCGGCAATGTCGACCTCTCAAGGCAGTTGCGGATCCAGACGGCCTGCCGCAGAGCGAGGTGCCACCAGTGGTGCTGCACGCCCATGTGCAGCAGCATCGTCCGCACCGACTCCACCACCGTCCTCATCTCCCGCTCTGCCATGCCGTTCTGCTGCGGGGTGTACGGGCAGGTCAGGTCGTGGACGATCCCCTGTCCGTCCACGAAGTCGGTGAACTTCTTCCCGAGGAACTCCCCTCCTCGGTCGGAGCGAAGCATCAGCACCGACTTCTTCGTCTGCCTTTCCACCAACACCAGCCACTTCTGGAACTCCAGCAGCACATCCGACTTCTTGGCGACCGGCCTCACCCACACGAAGCGGGACTTGCGGTCCTTCAGCAGCAAGAAGTACAGGCTGCCGTCCTTGGCAGCCACGCGGAACGGCCCGCACAGGTCGATGTGCACGACAGCCAGCACGTCGTCGGCGTCGGAGCCTTGGTCGGGAAAGGTGTGCCGCGCCAGCTTCCCGCCGACGCACGAGACACACGGTGAGTCGGCGCCCGTCGCCGACTTGAGGTCCAGCCCAATGGCGACCTCGTTCTTCGCCGAGCTCCGTATGGTGTCCATGCCGACGTGCGCAAGCCTCGCATGCATCCGGTCCGGCGTCGACTTCGTCTTCGAGAAGATCGCCCGCAGGGCCACAACCTCCGGCGTGGTTGACGTCGACCTCGTTGAGCAGGGACGCAGGTCGGTGCAAAGGACACGCCCAGAGTACGTCGCCCGACCAAGCACCTCTCCCGCCGCCGAGACGAGCAGCATCCCGTCGCCATCCTCCTGCAGCTTCACGCCGTGCTCCTTCAGCTGGCCGGACGATAGCAGGTTGGCCCGCACACCCGGGACGTACAGCACGTCGGGGATGAGCACCTGCTTCCCGGCCTCCCCTTGCAGGGCGACGGTGCCGCGGCCCTGGACGTCCTGCAGCGCCCCATTGAAGCCGCGCACGTGCTTGATGGAGCCGCTCGGCTGCAGGTCGACGAAGACTTCCTTCGTCCCCATCAGGTGGTGGGAGCAGCCGCTGTCGAGCAGGACCACCGCCGGGTTCGCTTGCACAGCTGCCGCCACCGCATGGAAGTCCTCTCCGGCCTCCGGTGCCAGCGAGACGGTCGGCTCCACGATGCCGACCAGCGAGCACGACGTCGTCTTGTCGTCCCGCCCCTTGCCGCCAACAGAGGAGTCGGCGTCCTTCGCCGAGGTTGACGTCGTCGACTGCTTCTCCTTGCGCGGCTTGTTTCCTCCTCGACGAGGACGGCGACTGCCAGACCTCCCACGGCCTCCCTTGGCGTCGTCGTCGTCGGAGTCACTGCGGTCGGGGCACTCGAAGGAGAGGTGGTCGGGGTTGCCGCACAGCCAGCACTCCCGACGTCGACTTCCTCCTCCTCGACCGCTGTCCTTGGTCGACTTCTTCTTGTCGACTTCCTTGGTCGACCTCCAGCCACTGCTTCCACCGCCACCAGACTGCCCGCGCTGCCCCGGTCGGCCACCTTGCTTTCCCGGGGCGACGTAGTTTGCCTGCACCAAGAGCTCCTGGGACCGCTCTGCCTCCTGCATCGCCTCGTCCTGCAGGATGTACGAGGTCAAGTTGTCCTCGTTGAGTGTCGTCCTTGTGCTCGGCGCCATCGACAGCCGCTTCAGGAGGTTGTAGCTGCTCGAGAGTCCCTGCATGACGTGGGTGACGTACGACGCTGTCGAGTACTGCGCGCCGGCCATCCTGATGGTGGCGAGAATTCGCCGGGCTCGGTTGCAGTAGTCGGTCGCTGTCTCCTCGTCGCCCATACGCAGGTGTGTCAGCTGCCCCTCCAGCTGGGCGATGAACAAGTCGTCGGTGACTTGGTAGGTCGACTCAATGAAGTGCCACGCCCGGTGGCCGGCGTCGAGGTACTCTCGGCACCACTTCAGGGCGATCTGCACGCCTGGCGAGCAGCACCGCGAGATGACCGTGAAGGTCAACAGCTGCACGGCACGGAACTCCGCTCGTAAGTCGGCGTGATGCTCCTCCAGCGTCGCCACGGTCCCTCGGGCGAAGCCGATCAGCCCGGCCATCTCCAGCTGGGGCTCGATGGCTTCCTTCCAGGTGAGAATGTCTGGTCGACCAACGAGCGGCGGGGTGACCAAGATCCTGTCCGGCGTAAACTTGAAGTAGCCGTAGCTCGGTGCAATCCCGCCCGCTGTCACCTGGGTCGCCGACATCGGCGACAGTCCACTTCGTCGACCTCCGACGTCGCCCTGTGAGGATCCTGCAGCCGCCGACGACCGCAGTCCTCGCGCCTGAACGCCGCCGACTTCATCGGCGTGAATCACACCTCTCTGCCTCCACGTGCCTCCCGCACTGCTGCCGACTTGACCACCACCAGCGTTGACGCCCACGTCAACGCCGCCTTCGTTGTGTACCGGTCGAGGAGAGGCAGGTCGAGAAGGGTGCTCCGTCGCCCACATGGTGCGGAGTCCAGCCTCGACGGCCGCCCAAGGCAGGTCGCCATACTCGTTGGCCTCGTGCTTTCTCCTCGCGTTCTCCAGCCATGCCTCCAAGGTGTCCACCACCCCTGCGTCACCTACGGCTCCTACCATAGTGACGACCGCACAGCTGCCGGCCTACAACAACGAATTAGATAAGTGATATTTACGTCGACCTGACTGAAAGGTAAGTCGTGTGCCGTCCACGCTCACCGCACTATGCGTTCCAGCACGACTTGGTCGACCGAGTTCCAGCAGTGCAAAGTCGACTGCGTGCCAACGCTGCAGGTTGACGGCGTGCCAGCGTTGCTCCCGCAGAACAGCAGCGCACCTACTTCGCAGGTGCTCGCAGATGATTGGCGGGCTAAGCCTTGTCACCTGCACAACGCACACACCAGGTCATCCTCGTGCTGATGACTCCACCTGATCTGCCACGTCGACCTCGGGATACCATCACCGAGGTCGGACTCGCCAACTTCGCCTGGGCGACCGTCGCAATCCTCCGCAGAATCTCGTCACCCAGGTAACCTGGTCGACCGGGCAACCACGTCGACCAGCTGCTCCTGTATGTGCCCGTCGACCTCCCAAGTCGACGACCACCCCAAGTCAACCTCACCAAGTCGACCACACCCCTGGTCGACCAGCTCCAGGTCGACGTCCCTCCTGGTCGACCAGCTACACGTCGACCAACACTCCTGGTCGACCAGCTCCATGTCGACCAGCGCAGTTGTCAGCCGACCACCCAAGTCGGCTACCCGAAGTCGGCGTCACCAAGTTGACGCCCAACTACTCGACGCCCTGCTGCTCGGCGTCCTGAGTCGAGGTCGACGTCGGCCCCTCCTCCGTCGACCACCAGGTCTGGTCGACCACCAGGTTGACATCACGCCTGGTCGACCACCACCAAGTCGACCAGCAGGCCTGGTCGACCAACCACCAGGTCGACCAGCAGTCCTGTTAGCCGACCACCCAAGTCGGCTGCCCCCAAGTTGGCGTCATCTGCAGGTCGACTTCCCAGGTCGACCTCCCTGTGCAGTGGCCCCCGTGCAGGTCGACCTCCCTGTCAACCAGCTCGCCCACTGCTGCAGGTCGGCTGCTCCCTTCACACCCGACCACAAAGTCGGCTCCGCCCAAGCGAGGACGGGGCCAACACACAACTCCCGTTGACACCTTCTACGTAAACTTTCTCGTCCCCAACCTTTTCTCCATACCCATAGCCTCTCCTTTCCCCTCCCCCATCCCATTCCCCTTCAACGTCTCCTCCCCCAACCCCATCCCCATTGCCATCCCCCCCTTCACCAGGTTTGCATAGTGCAGCAAGCAGTGGCCATCACTCCGCTCCAATCCGCCTATCCTGCACCCACCTCGCTTTTCTCTCCCTCTCTCTGCCCTACCTCGAATTTCCCTCCCTCGTCGCTTTCCTCGTTGCTTCTTCCTCCCTCTTCCCCCCTAACTCCTCCACCTCACCTGCAGATTCCCAGCTATTTGCACATCATAGATCGGCTATAACCATTCTTACTCTCCCTCCACTCCCTCCTTATTCTCCATGCTTTCCCGTGCTCATGGCTTCATCCTCCTCCCTACCATTTTCCCTTTCCTCCCCCCTCTCTCCCCGGCTGTTCCAGCGCATCATGGCGGGGTGCTATGGCAGGCAACTCACCTCGCCCTACCTTGTTCACCCATGCTCGTTGCTCTTTCTCCCTTACACCTCGCCGCACAATTTGAGCTCCTTCGACGCGTGGGGAAACGGAGCCACAGCATGCAGCTCATTCTCCCACTTTCCGCCAGCCTCCTTCCACCATCCCACAGGCCCTCCATCACCCCTCCGTCGTTTTCTTGTGCTCGTTGCTTCTTCATCCGTTCCTTTCCCCTCTTTCCCTTTCTCCCATTCGCCAGCTTCATCTCTTTGCTCCTTTGTGCTGCTTCGCCCACCCTCCCCCCTTGCCACACACGCCCCCAGCTCGTCCGTCGCATCGTGGCAGGGCGCTATGGTGTGCACTGCCTGCCCACCAAACCTCTGCCTCGCACTGGGCTGCCACGGCACTGCCACTCGCTTCCAGTCCCTCGTGCCCTCCTCCCTGGTTGCTGGCGAGGTGAGGGGCAATGCACGAGGCGAGGTGAGGGGTGGGCAGGTGGCGAGCGCAATAAGTGGGTGGTGGGGAGAGGTGTAAGAATATAGCATTTGATTCTGCCGGCTAGTTTTGCAAGTGTAACACCCATTGCTGGGTGTACACTTTTGTTCGGGACTCCCCAACTGACAGGGAACCATTCATTGGTTGCTCACAACAGCCATCATCAGTACTGTCGTGGTTTACCCTATGTGTACAATTTGTTTGCTAATGGTGGGGGGAGGGGGGTGGGAGAGGTTGATGGTGGGGAGAGGTGGATGGTGGGAGGAACATGGTGCAGGTGGGTGGGGGCGGATGGTGCTGGTGGGGTTGGCCCAAAAACATTGAAATTACTCTTTTGAACTGGGCAACTATCCAGGCAATCTTCTCTGCCTCCTCCTCGCTTTCCCTTCCCTACCTTCCCTGCCTTCCCTACCTTCCCTGCCTTCCCTACCTTCCCTACCTTGCCTACCTTCCCTGCCTAACCTGCCTTGCCTGTCATCACCTCTTCCTCTCTGCGGGCCCTTTTCGGCAGGCACAAGATCAAGATCACCACGCTCATCATGTCTCTCCCTCCTGGCTTCTGGCTGTTTCTCCAGCGCTGTGCTCTGCCTCTTCTGGGCCCTTATCATCATCATCCGCGCCAAACACAACACCGAAAAGCTGCCATCACTGAACACTATCTCACCACTTGCCAGAAGGCAATATCTCTCACATCGATGCTTATCAGTGGCATTCCGCATCTACCAATAGCAGCAGCATGTTCCCTTCGTTTGACCCCACCAACTTCTCAGTCAAGTCAGAAATAGCCTTGCTTGCTGTTCAACAGCAGTCCTGCTTCCTGCCAAGGCCACCGGCACGTTCCCTTTGTTCTACCCATGGATTTACAAGGGATGCATGTCGTAATCCGGAATTACGGCATGAACACACTCTTGGCTGTGCAGCTGCTGGTTGTTGGTTTCCTAGTGAAGATCTTGGTTTTGTTGCATCTCGTTTCAAAATACCGGTAGTCCTGTCCTGATGTACCATACCTCTAGCGCAGCATAGCACCATCATCTGACCTTGGTGTTTCATCTCTGTAATAGTAAAGGCACGCGAGTTAATGAGCTCTCAGTCCATGAGTGCAAAAAGGAAAAGCAGAAGTACAAGGGTGGAAAGCAACGAATGGAAGGGTTAAAGTAGAGGTGCAAGGGTTAAAAGCATGAGTGCAAGGGTGGAAAGCAGGAGTGCAAGGGTGAAAAGCAGGAGTGCAAGGGTTAAAAGCAGGAGAGCAAGGGTGAAAAGCAGGAGAGTAAGGGTGAAAAGCAGGAGAGCAAGGGTGGAAATCAGGAGGGTAAGGGTGAAAATCAGGACTAGACGAAACAGTGACTGCGAGGAATTACCTAAGTATGAGTGGGGGGAGGGGGGGGGGGGTTTATGAGAAGCGTGCGGGGTATGAGAGCAGTGGGGGCATGAGAAGAGTGGGAAAGATGAGAGGAGTGAGGGAAATGAGACGAATGGGGAGAATGAGAGAAAGGGTATGAGAGACGTGGTGGGGGGGTCTGAGGGGTACATGTTGAACCGTATCAGGTGTTGCACCTCCCGCTCCATCTCCTTTAACTGAACCACAGCCACGAGTCATTCTGTGTGCTGTTGCAATAAGAAGGGTTCTTTCTGCGCTTGACGCTCGCCAGCACTACGCCACGCCATCCTTTCCCTCGCACCACGCTATTCTTGCCTTCACTTTCTAAGGTATTCAGCGACAGGGGATTCAGGCACATGGGATTCAGCCACAGGGGATTCAGCCACAGGGGATTCAGGCACATGGGATTCAGCCACAGGGGATTCAGCCACAGGGGATTCAGGCACATGGGATTCAGCCACAGGGGATTCAGCCACAGGGGATTCAGGCACATGGGATTCAGCCACAGGGGATTTAGGCACAGGGGATTCAGGCACAGGGGATTCAGCCACAGGGGATTCAGGCACATGGGATTCAGGCACAGGGGATTCAGCCACAGGGGATTCAGGCACATGGGATTCAGCCACAGGGGATTCAGCCACAGGGGATTCAGGCACAGGGGATTCAGCCACAGGGGATTCAGCCACAGGGGATTCAGGCACATGGGATTCAGCCACAGGGGATTCAGCCACAGGGGATTCAGGCACATGGGATTCAGCCACAGGGGATCCAGCCACAGGGGATTCAGGCACATGGGATTCAGGCACATGGGATTCAGGCACAGGGGTTTCAGGCACATGGCATGGAGGAACAAGGAATGGAGCGACAGGGAAATGAGGCAGGGAATTATGGCACAGGGCACTGAAGCACAAGGCATTCAGGCACAAGGTATTCAGGCACAGGGAATTCAGGCACAGAAAACTCAAGCACTGAGAATTCAGGCACAGGGCACAGGGAATTCAGGCAGAGCAAAATAAGGCACGGGGAATTCAGGCACATGGAATCCAGGCACATGGCATTCAGGCACAGAAGATCCAGGCACGGTGATCTCACGCACATCAAGCACAGGTAATTGAGGCACAGGAATTCTAGGCACAGAAAACTCAGGCAAAGGGCATTCCGAGCACAGAGCAATCAGGCACAGAGCAATCAGGCACAAAGCAATCAGGCACAGAGCAATCAGGCACAGAGCAATCAGGCACAGAGCAATCAGGCACAGAGCAATCAGGCACAGAGCAATCAGGCACAGAGCAATCAGGCAAAGAGCAATCAGGCACAGAGAAATCAGGCACAGAGCAATCAGGCACAGAGCAATCAGGCACAGAGCAATCAGGCACAGAGCAATCAGGCACAGAGCAATCAGGCACAGAGCAATCAGGCACAGAGCAATCAGGCACAGAGCAATCAGGCACAGAGCAATCAGGCACAGAGCAATCAGGCACAGAGCAATCAGGCACAGAGCAATCAGGCACAGAGCAATCAGGCACAGAGCAATCAGGCACAGAGCAATCAGGCACAGAGCAATCAGGCACAGAGCAATCAGGCACAGAGCAATCAGGCACAGAGCAATCAGGCACAGAGCAATCAGGCACAGAGCAATCAGGCACAGAGCAATCAGGCACAGAGCAATCAGGCACAGAGCAATCAGGCACAGAACAATCAGGCACAGAGAAATCAGGCACAGAGCAATCAGGCACAGAGCAATCAGGCACAGAGCAATCAGGCACAGAGCAATCAGGCACAGAGCAATCAGGCACAGAGCAATCAGGCACAGAGCAATCGGGCACAGAGCAATCAGGCACAGAGCAATCGGGCACAGAGCAATCGGGCACAGAGCAATCAGGCACAGAGCAATCAGGCACAGAGCAATCAGGCACAGAGCAATCAGGCACAGAGCAATCAGGCACAGAGCAATCAGGCATAGAGCAATCAGGCACAGAGCAATCAGGCACAGAGCAATCAGGCACAGAGCAATCAGGCACAGAGCAATCAGGCACAGAGCAATCAGGCACAGAGCAATCAGGCACAGAGCAATCAGGCACAGAGCAATCAGGCACAGAGCAATCAGGCACAGAGCAATCAGGCACAGAGCAATCAGGCACAGAGCAATCAGGCACAGAGCAATCAGGCACAGAGCAATCAGGCACAGAGCAATCAGGCACAGAGCAATCAGGCACAGAGCAATCAGGCACAGAACAATCAGGCACAGAGCAATCAGGCACAGAGCAATCAGGCACAGAGCAATCAGGCACAGAGCAATCAGGCACAGAGCAATCAGGCACAGAGCAATCAGGCACAGAGCAATCAGGCACAGAGCAATCAGGCACAGAAGATTCAGACACAGGGAGGGAATCGGCACACGGAATGGAGGCACAGGGAATCAAGGCCCAGGAAATCGAGGCACAAGGAATTGAGGCACAGAGAATTACTGGAAAATCAGGCACAGAGTATCCAGGCAAAGGAAATCCAGGCACAGGAAACTCAGGCACTGAAAATTCAGACACAGGGCAATCAGTTACAGAGAAATAAGGCACAGGGGTTCAAGGCACAGGGTATCCAGGCACGGGGAAATAAGGCAGAGGGAATTCGAGCACTGGAAAATGAGATACAGGAAAATCAGGCACAGGGAATTCTGGCACAGGGCAATTGTGCACAGGAAATCCAGGAACAAGGGATTCAGGCACAGGAATTTCGGCAAAAGACCCTAAACCCAAATTGGAGTTAGGCACAGCAAAATCAGGCATGAGAATTCAGGCACAGAAAACGCAGGCACTGGAAATTCAGGCACAAGGCATTCAGGAACAGGAAATTTGGGCGCAGGGAATTCAAGAAGAAATTCAGGCACAGGGTATCTAATTAGAAAAAAAAGGAAAGACAAGGAAATTCGGGCACAGGGATTTCAGGCACAGAAACTTCAGGCACAGGGAACCTCAGGCACAGGGAAATCAGGCTCAGGACAATCGGGCACAAGAAAGCCAGGCATAGGAAATACAGGCACAGGGAACTGAGGCACACGAAAATCAGCACAGGGACAGGAAATTGGAACAAGGGACTCAGGCACAGCACAGGAAATTAAAAACAGGGATTTCAATGACAGAATCTTCAGGCACAGGGAATTCAGGCACAGAAACACTCTCCCGCCTTCATGCTTGTCAGCATTGGCGTCTGCTGAATTCACTAAGACTCTCCTTCCATTCCCCAGGCCCCCCTTCGCAACCCAATATCAGGCTTCTCATACCTCGGAAATCAGGACATACGGTATTGGGGCTGTGCCACAGCTGCCTTAGCTATTCATCCAGCGGTTGACACGGTGCAAAAGTCGTTATGCTTATACGGGAGGATTATCATATGAACGAATTGTGTGACTTTTTCAACATAGAAGGGGATTGAACAACGATCATGAGCGTGAGGTGCAATGACAATCCCATGTCTATTAACAGCATTCACAGTTTCTCCACTCCACAAGTATTCGTCAACATGTTGAGAGACTTACTGGGTTGGGGCATTCATGCTACCGGTAACATACTGTACCTGAGTGCCACTCAATTTGGTTTGACTATGCACACTGCATCCAAGAAAATCTAAGACTCATTGAATCCAAGCAACAAAGAGGGGTAAAACAAGACAAGATCAAACAAAGGGCAAATACAACTCTACAAACAGTACAGTATGCATTTTATTCGTCTACCCTTGTTCCAGCTTCACTGGTGCAGGCCCGCCTTCAGCGACACCGTCCTCTTAACAAGCATCAGCCAGTACTGAGACGTTGCTAGCAAACCTCCGAGATACTGCAGCACCTTCAAGCAGGTCAAGTCATCTGAGAGAAGCTCCAGTCCAGCTGTAAGACCAGCTTGGCTGTCAAGGCTGTTCAGTAACCTGAACCAGATTCTCAGGAACGGAGGAGATGGAGGTATCACGCAGTACCAAGTGGTGCAGCTGGGTGAGGAACTCCAGGAGGTGCTTCAAGGCTTCACAGCCAATCAACTCCAGTTTGCGCAGCCTAACCAAGAAGGTCAGGCCTTCAGGTAGTGACGTCAGCTGAGGAGCTTCAACCGTGAGTGACATCAGCTTGGTGAGCTCCAGTATGCTTCCTGGCAACTCCTCCGGTGACCAGGAAAGAAGCTTCAGCTGCCGTAGCTCTGGCAATGCTGCCGCCATGTTATTCGGGAGGCTGATGATTCCCGGCGCTAGGGATGAGCAGAGGGCGAACTCGAACATGTTCGAGTTCGCCCCCTGTCGAACACATGCTTTTCCCGAACCGAACATGGTTCGGTTCGGCGAACTATTTGCCTTACGGCAGGTGTTCGCCGTTCGCCAGGGGGGCCGAACTATTTGATTATGCTGGCGAACCCGAACATGTTCGAGGCGAACATGTTCGGGTTCGACTATGGGGAGTTTCGCTATAGTCACAGTCGTCCGACAGGGTGTTTTGAGGGTGGGGAAGATAGACAGTGGTCCGCAGGGTGTATCTGTGTTCATGCAACGCACACAAACATACTAAACCGTCTTGTTCTAGCAAATATAAGAGTAAAAAACCAATAGAGTCCTACACCTGAGCACCACTGCTACTACCAACAACAGCATGCTCCCCGCCAACGGTGTCGTCAACACCCACACCCTCCTGCTCCTCCTCCCCCTCCTCCTCCTCCTCCTCCTCCTCGTCGTCCTCCTCCTCCCCCTTGCCTTCAATGGCGAACTCTGGTGGTGCGACGCCCTTTGCACGGCGGCCCTCGCCTATCCTCTGTCCAGGGTGTGAGCTGTACCATGACCTGAGAATCATGACAGCTCGCGTCCTCTGGGAGGCCAGGCGGTGCCGCTTCCAGGAAATGAGGTTGCGGCCAAGGGAAAACACGCGCTCGCTCGAGGCGGACGTGGCAGGGATGGCGAGATAATCCCGGGCCATGCGGCGCAGCGTCTGCATGTTGGTGGCGGTGCGCCAGTAATCCAACGCTGACACGTCGTACCGCACCCTCTCAGATAGATACCTACCAACCTCGTCATCCTGCACCATCCCACCCCTCCCCGCCGCCTGGCTCGCTGACAGACGCGCCGCAAGTCGTCGGCGACTGGGGAGAAACTCCGCGTCTTCGTCGTCATCCGCCGCGTCCCCCTCCCCCTCCTCCGTCACGGGGGCAAGTGGGGTCGGTCTAGGTGCAAGAGCCGCAGCCCGGGCCTGGTACTCGGTCACGCGGTCGCGTACCAGCTGGATCACCTCGCCTGATGAGGGACGCGGCCTCGACCTCCGGTCGGTCTCGGGATGCAGCGTCTCCCAGTGCGGGTTGTCGAACCACGCCGCCTTCATGGAAGGGTCCAGGAAGGTGGCGATCCACAACTCGTTGCTGGACATCAGTTCATACTTCTTCAAGAGACCCAGCGCCGCCTCAATCATGGGCTTCAGCGTCGCTGATGGCCCCTTGGCGAGGCGCGACTCCATAGTGTCGATGAGGCCGTTGTAGTACGGCAGAACCACCGCAACTGTAGGGTAAGCCGCTCCCTCCACCGCCTTTGAGACTTTGGCGAATGGACTGAGGAACGTCTTGACAGCATGCAGAGTCTCCCAGTCTGCGTCCGTCAGCTTGAGGCTCTCCACCTTTGCCTTGTCTGCCTTCGACAAGCCCTGTCGGGGAGAGTGTATGGTTTGGCGGGTGGTAAAATGGAAACGGGGGGGGGGGGGGTATTGAGGGGTTTTGGGTCATATACCATACGACAAGCATGGCCAACAGTGATGTAATTGCTAGAACACAACACCCTGAGACACCCGCACGTTAAGGCACACACACAACTTCCGTCACACACACCTGTGTCTGGGCAAAGAAGACAGTGATGGGTTCCTGGAGAACCCCTGCACGCTCGAGCATGTCGTGGGTCGACCCCCACCGCGTAGGACTGTCCGAAACCAGCTTCAACGCCTGCTTCAGTTTCGGGGGGTTAGCCTGCGCGTTCAAGGTCCGCTGAAGGCCCAAGAACTTCCCTGAGCGCTGCGGCGAGAAGCCAATCCACGACGCCATCTCTCTTAGCACCTTCAACAACCTGCGGATGGCAGCCACTGCTAGAGCTGCCTTCACTGCAAGGTTGATCACGTGTGCCAAGCAACTGCGCATGGCCACATGAAAGGCGGACAAGAGGGAAGCGTGAGCACAGATACGCATAGCCGGCCAGAGACCCATACCAGACCCAGTGACCCTTCCAACTCGAACCGTAGTGGCTCACCCGCCCGTACAACCACAACAAGTTGTTAACACTTGAACGACGCACCCAAACACCCACAGATCTACCCACCCCACACACACTCTCATTCTTACCGGAAGTGCATGCGCGAGTCGAAGAAACACAGACCACCACCCTCCTCCGACATCCGCCTGAAAGCGGCTGTGTTGCTAGAGGCGTTGTCAGAGGTGAAACCAAGACAACGCCCCTCCAACCCCCACTGCACCACCGTCTCCTCGACCACCCTCGCCATCTCCTTGCCCGTATGCCGCCCGTGTATCTCGCGGAACTCTAGCACCATTGTGCGCAGCTGGAAGTTCTCGTCCACCCAGTGACCAGTAACCACTAGCCACGCCCTGTTGTTGGGTGCCGTCCACATGTCGATGGTGTACGACACCTTGCACCCCAACCCCCCCTCCTTAGCCAGCAGCTCCGCAATGGCTGACTGAAGAGCGGCAGCCGCATAGACCACAGTGTCACGGGAAACCGTCCAGCGAGAAGGGATAAAGTTCTTCTGCGCGCAGTTGCGGTTCAGCAGGATCAGGAGCTCCCAAAACTGGAGAGGGGTAGAGACAAGGAGGGAGAGAGGAGAGTCAACGGCTGGGGGATGGGCTTGACATATTATGACACAGGGAGAGTCGCTTAAACACAGCACGGTGAAGGTCTAACACTAAAAGTGTCCACATACTGCCAAACCCAACACACAATGTACGGCATGCACGGGATGGGGCACTCACAACATCGGCCTCAACGATGCGGAATGAGAGGTCAGCTTGGTGGTCATGAACCGCTCGATCCCCACCGACCCTGGTCCGCCCTCAGACGCCTTCCCCTTCTTCTTGGGGAGATGCGGCCATGACTTGGCATGCGGCCACTGTTCTACGTAGCCATCCGGCACGCCCTTGTAGCCCCCTCGTGGAAACGTCTCCCCTGGCAAATGAAGGGACGGGGTGTGGTAACGGTGATGCCATACGTGCATGTGCGCTGTGTGGTGGCTCGCGAAGTGCCGCTCGCCGGGTGTGGTCGTGGACTCTCTCCACGAAATCCTGTCGGTGCAATTCTTGCACTGACGCTTCTCGTCTGCCCCTTCCGGTCCGAACATGTGCACTTGCCACCCCGGTGCCCTGTTACCCCCCTTGCCAGTCCCCATACTACTCTCAGACGCGCCGTCCTCGTCTAGGAACTCCGGAGCGATCACTCCATCTCCTAAGGGCTCCCCAGTGAACGTGCATGGATACGCCCGCTCCCTCAACTTGTTCACTCTCTTTTTCACGGCAATTGGGGCCTTAATGGTCGCGGCCTTTCTCCCCACCTTAACCCCCACGCTCCCTCCCCCTTCACGCACATGCTGTGATGCCGCCTCGGTTGCCGCCCCTCCACAACCCTCTCCCACCTCCTCCTCTTGCCCCTCAGGCTCCAACCCATCCATCTCGTGGTCTTCGTCATCTTCTCCCCCCTCCCCACCGCCATGCGTCTCTGGGTCCCACCCGGCCTCACTGTCATCCCCGCTCCCCTCATCATCCTCATTTGCCTCGCCATCTCCCTCCTCCTCCTCATCCTCCTCCACACTGGCACTCTCAGGCTCCGTCTGCCCCGAAGGAGGGGGTCGAGGGCCGTTGTAACGGAACGATTGACGAGATGTCAGCGCCGCGGCGGAAAGAAACCCCCCCAGGAAGCAAGCGTCGGCTCCGCCGGGTCCATCCCCTACTCGCCCCTCCATAGGGCGTCCTGGAGAACCTTGTGTGCCGCCCTGAGTGCTGTTGCCCGCACGTCGCTCTAAAGATCCACGTTGGCTAGAAGCCATAACTCCCTCCGCCGTCCACTCTAAAACCCTAAAACCCCCTTTCTGATGTGGTAGCGATGGACGTGTAGCACGGTACGAAACGAATTACAGCACGGGTACGATGGGGAGTTGCCCTACCGAGCCCTTCACTTTGACCACACGCTGCTGGATCTGATCGCTACGCTACAAAACCATTGTGTTGTTTGAGAGTCGTGACTACCCTAAATACACTACCTTTACCCTAAACCCTATATCTAATCCCTTAGTTGCTTATTGGTACGGTGTGCCTAAGCTTCTAGCACATAGAGGCTAGGGCGACTATGTGAGGGAGGACTAGGGAGTAAAAGCGAATTGTGTTTGAGCTCACGAAATGAGCTCAAACACAATTCGGCCGCGACCTAAAATTGGTCGCGGCCAAATTTGACGCGAACGCGAAAGTGTTCGCGTGGCCCCCAAAGCGAACACGAACATGTTCGTGTTCGGCTGGGTGGCCTAATCAAATTTGGTGAACGTCGAACATGTTCGGCCGAACACCGAACATGTTCGAGGCGAACGATTTGGCAAAAAAAAAACGCCTGTTCGGTAATATGCTCAACCCTACCCGGCGCTGCTATCAGCAAGCTGCGCAGGCGAGGGAGAAAATTCAACGGAATTGGGAGATCCTGATTGTCCTCTTGTAAATGCATCTCCAGCTGCTCCAGCTGCTCTAGCTGCTCCAACTGCTTCTGCTCCTCAAATCGCTCCAGCTCTTCCAGCATCTCCAGCTGCTCACTCAATAAGTTGCGCAGGCGAGGGAGGAAAGGCGGAGGAAGTGGGAGTTTCCGAGCTTTTCCTTCAGAAATCAAACCCAGCTCCTCCAGCTGCCCCCAGCATAAGTGCTTCCAGTACAATGAAGTTGCGCATTCCACCCCAACGCAGTTAAGCTTCAACACCCACAGCTGCGATACTTGGGAGATGTCCACCGTAAAGTCATGCCAGGTGGGCCCGGGCCCCAAACAGAGGGTCTCAAGACAGGGTGGCAGACCATCAGAGGGACTTGTCAGCTCCTCACACTCCGTCAACTCCAGCCTCTTGAGCCCCACAAGCTTATCCAGTCCAGAGAAAACTGTACTGAGTACTGGACAGCCTCTGACCTCCAAGTTCTGAAGTGCCATAAGTCTTGTCAGAAAGCTAGGAAGAGACTCGATAAGAAGGTCAATAAGCTTCAGTTCCCTGAGGTTGCGCAGCTCTCCCAGGGCTTCTGGAAGCTGCTTAGAGTCTCAGCCAATCGCAATCAGCTCAAGGCTCGTCAAGGCAGACAGGTCGGAGAAGGAATCTGGAAGGTGCTTCTCGTAGCCATGCAACCTGAGAGCCTCCAGCCTTGCAAGCGCCCCAATGTCGGCTGGCAAGGCAAGATCCCGATGAGAGTTTGAGAAGCAAAGCGCATTGAGAGCCGTGAGATAGCAGAAACCTTCTGGCACATGCAAAAGCTCTTTGCAATCGAATACAAAGAGTTCCTCGAGAGATGTGAGATGACAGAAGGAAGGAGGGAGACTAATGAGAGCCAATGTTTCCATCATCAGCAGTTTGAGAGCAGGCAGGTACCCGAAGTTGTCTGGTAAGGTAAAGCTGTAACAGATAGAGACGACGAGAGATTCTAAACGGCTCAGAGTAGTAAAGCTTTCAAGCAGGTGAGTGAAACGGCCGCACTCGCAAACAGTCAGCTTCCGAAGGCATGGCAGCAAGTTTCCTATGTGGTCTGGAAGCATCTCCAGCTCCCTGCAGTTGGTGATTGTCAGCTCCTCTATCCCAGTGAATGGCAAAGCGGATGGGAAGATGGCGTCCCACTGAGGGCAGGAAACAAAGAAGTTGAGCGTTTTTAAACAGGACGGCGGCAGCGTCACGCTTGCAGCACCCGCCGGTTGATGGTTCGGGTGAGGGCCGAGAGTGAAAAGGTGGGCGAGTCGCGGGAAGTGAAGGAGGCTGGATAGGTGCAGATGGTTACAGGGAAAGGCGATGTACAGGGTGGTAAGGGCAGTGAGATTTGCGAAACCGGGATTCTCCAAAGCAGTTGCATTGTTGAGAACAAAGGTGCGGAGATGCCTCAAATGAAAGAAAGAACCCGGCAACTCTGTCGCTTGGTGGGGGCAAAAGAGGGAAAGCTCCTCCAGCAGAGGGAGCTTCAGGAAGAATTTGTTCAAGCCGTCCGTAGTTATCAAATGGTTCTCCTTCCTGCGATAGTAATGCTCAGAATTGACATCTTCTTCGTCCTGCACAGCATTGATCCTTCCCACGTGGACAGACGTCAGCTTCGGGCAGGAAGACGCGAGGTGATCAAGAAAGGAATCATCGACGGATTCCACGCTGTTATCGCTGAGAAACAGATGGGTGAGATTCGAGAAGCACGCGACGGCGGCTGAGAGATCTTCGCGGCACACCGAGTCTTTTTTAACGAGCAGAGTGGACACGTGATGCTTCGCCACACGTCGCCAACGACAGCAAACCGAAGAGATGAGGAGATTTCGAGCTACGTCTGCGAACAAAGGCGGGCTCGGTAACCGCGTGTCTATAAAAAACTTGTTCGATACCACTTGATGGAAAGTTATACCTGGGCAAACACTAGTGGGCGATTCGTCCAAAGTCGGTTGCTCAAAGGCGCGCCGAAGGATGGCAAGGAGAATATCGTCAGGTAGACTATAGATCGGCGGACACTCCATGTCGGGGGACTCTAGATACTAGGGACGCTGGAATACGTGCTAAGGTATCAGCATGAACTGGAGAACATGGGTGAGCATCTAACGGGAATGTCTCAACCAGACGGGGTCCGACGGTGACAAAAGAAAGCAAAAAAAGCAGTGGATGGGAAAGCTGAGAACAATACCCGCTGCTCGTGGCGTGGAAGGGCCCCGCATAAGTGCCGAGCGACGTCCTGTCGCCACGTAGTGCACCTGACGAATGCCATGCCATGCACTGCCTCCCTCAAAATTGGGTTTAGTTTGGGCACTACATGTACCAGAAATTGGTGAAGGCTGAGGAGTAACTCCAGCTAGAAGCGACCGTTGCTGCGATGGTGAGTTGGCCCACTCACCTGGAGCAGCAAAACGCTGCAGAATGAGCCGCAGCCAGCAAGATGCTCACTCAGCTAGCCCTGTGCTTTCAGCAGCAGCTACTTCGAGATCACACGTGGCTTGACTACATCGCAGACGCAGGTCAGCTCTACATGGAGCTCGGCGACCCTAGAGAGCCTCACAAGGCCAGCTTGCACTCGAGATTCGAGAAACGATTTACTCTTACCTACAATGATTTCTTATCCTGGGCGTTCGCTGGATGGCTGCTGCTTGTTGGCCTGAAACCCTAGAAATTGCAGCTTGAGAACGACGCTCCCTAGGGGAAGTTATGTAGTCGTGGGCGCAGGTCGAGCGGATTTGCCAGAGGAAAAATGCAGGTCGAGCTCGTTGAGTCGAGCTGGGACTCGACCTACGCGGAAGCGGCGCAAGCTTGCGCCGAGCAAGACAACCCCCACCGCCCCACGTGCTAGGCTCGGCCTGCCCGTGAACCAGTTCTCTGCCCGAACAGATTCGTGCGTGAAGTGTAGCTGGCGAGGCACGTGCTCTTGCCAGCGTCAAGGTGCAGCCGTCAAATTGACGTGCACCTTTCGCGCAAACGGTTGCGACGTGGTCTGCGAGACCATGTCGCAACCAGTTTGCGAAAACTCCGGTATCGAGAATCTCGAGAATGAGGTTCATGTTTGAAATATGTTTAAGATGTAATTTGTTTATCTGCACACCGGTTTATACTCTACCAGTCCAACCGTTGGCATAACAGGTAGTTTCAAACACAATGGCAACCGGAATGCGGAAACGCGGAACAGTTTAGGTACCACTAGAAAACAAAGATTTGTCGGAATTTTCGATCGCGACATAGTGCTTTTACTAGTTTCGTAAAAGCTGGAAACCCAATAGGAGACTGTTTTATATGAACTCGAACATGGCCACATTCCTGTGTTGTGGAATCATATCGAAAATTAATTGTAGCGTTTTTTGTCCATTGCGCGCCAATAGTGATCCACGTGGCAAAGCCCATTTCGTCTCTGCGGGAGGGGTGTGGCTCAGAGTTACGCAAGTATGGAGGAGCCAATCGGGTTCTCTGACATGGGCGGGAAGAACACCAGATCTGGGGCGTGGCGACCAGATCTAGAGAAATTGTGGCGGGAATAGAGGTTGCAGTCAGAGATTGTGGAGCTCGTGCCCCTCTGGCTGAGCCCTAAAATGCTTCAAAAGGGCTCAGATGGATGCCATTTTCTTGATTGCTTCTTGAAGGTTCAACACATTTTTCTTGAGTTCATCAGCCATGCATGCTTTCTTACCTACAACCCAACATGGCATGATAGATTGCGTCGTTCCAAAATGCACACACACGCACTCGTTGCCGTGAAGTGTTTAGTACTCTGGACAATGTTGGTGTTTTAGAGGGACAACAAAACGCTGACAGGTGTAGGTCTTTTCGAGCTGTAAACAACTCTGAAAAGAACATTCATTTCAGATCAGCATTGTACTCGACGCCAGGGGGTCATTTTCATAGTTTTTTGTTCCCAAAACAACTCCGCACGCGAGACTCTTTTCAGCACAGCATTCTCCTCTACTCCTAGGTTCGCTGGCAGTCCATCTCGTTCTCTACGCGCTGGTATAATTTTCGCCTGTCTAACGAAAGCGATTTAGGACACCATTCGCGGATCATGTGAAGCATACAGTCCTCTGAAAAAGGTACACCGTGATGGAGTTTGATGGTGGTACGGGTAATTTGCTTAGTGCACTTTTCGAGGACAATGAGCAGTTTTTAGATCTAGAAGACAACCAACTGCCGCATGCCCCGATAGATCTAACCAGGGACCAAGATTGGGACGACGACTTTGCACCAGCAGTGGTGGGAGAAGTGTTCGTGGATGCTCCACAAGTATT